CTGGAACCAAATTTACCTCTTTGAAAATGACTTTGAAACTATCTGTGATAACTATGTGTGAATGATGCTGCTTGTGCATGTTTTTTTCGCGCAAATTTCTAGCCCAATTTAGTTAAGACCAAACCCAACCGTTATAAATTTGGTAGTAAGAAGCTAAACCGACTAAACTACGTTTTTCTAATTTACTTTTTACTTTCTTAATCTCAATTCACACTGGGTTTCTAAACACGCATAATGGCAGCAGCTGTGAATAACCGTCAACGTATTGCAGAGGCATAGATATCTAAACCAACAAATAATTGCAAGGCACGTATTACTATGTGTATTGTAGATATTAGTGATAAGTAGGTTCCACACCAGTATTGGTGTGGTACCTACTTATCACTAATAATTAAGCCAACCAATAAACAATTCTCTAATCATTGTTAATAAACATGTACTGCATTACTACTGAAAATGTATCAAAACACTATAAATGAAAAAATATGAACAGCTATCAATTAAAATATCAGACAAATTCGCCGATTAATTTACGAACTTTACTTACAATTTACTTACCTAATTGTGTAATTAACTTACCCAATTAACTTACACGTTCTGTATTCTCTTTATCTAAACAGGACGAAAATTTGTTTTATTCATTTGTTTAAACTTTAAATTAAAATAAATATGTCAAATATGTTTTTTTCAGTCCCAACACTTTTGTCTTTGCCTAAAACTTGTATCTTGTAGGTATCCCACCATCTTATCCAATGACTTCGACTCGGTGGTGCAGGGGTAGTGTATGCGACTGCTGTGCTCAGGTCTCGGGTTCGATTCCCGGGTCGGATCAAATGTTTGTATGATCTGCAAATATTTCTTAAAGAGTTTAAGTGTTTCTATGTATAATTTAACATGTATGTATCTTTCTACAAAAAAAGAGTGTAGAAGTATTCTATTAGTAAATCCAGCTTTCAAACTACAAGTTCTGCTTAGTTTGAAACTAGATGGCGTTGTGTGTCAGATGTCCGGAAATATTATTATTATTGTATAATGTTCGTTGTAATCAACTCGTAAGCTACATACAACAATTTCCTTTTTTGTCCAGGTTTTTAATTTTATATAATAATCTTACAGCTGACATCTGCCCATTAAATGAGCAGTACAACTCCTGCACACAAGCAACATGCCGTCACCAAAACTGCAGCACTAGAAACGATGCACTAAGTTGTCCGAGAATCGATCCTGCTTTCTGCAAAGGAGGCTGTGTCTGTAAAGAAAATTACTACAGAAACAAAAATGGCACATGTGTTCCAGAAGAGCAGTGCAATGGTGAGAGAGCTTTTAAGAACACATTATATTAGCCTCTCTTGAGGCGGTACATTACCTAAGTTTTACAATTATTATTCCATTTCATTTTCTTTATTTTTGTATTTTTGTTATTTTATCCTCACACACTCACACAACATTGACATCTTACTAGTGTGTGAATCTCACCTGACTAATAACAATAGTATTCATATACGCAACTATAATACTTACAAACCATCCCGATGGTACTGCGCGTACGGGGCGGCCCTAATTATAAAGTCGAATATCAAACATTATGAAAAACCACAGTTTAGAAAACCTTACATACAGGCAGCAACTGTAAATATAGATGATCGAAATGAAACATTTAATGCGTGCTCTATATATTGCCCCCCCAAACATATTATAAAAGAAGAGCAATATGATGAGTTTTTTAGCACACTTGGAGTACGTTTTATTACCGGAGGTGACTGGAACGCAAAACATGTACACTGGACCTCTAGACTCACCAACACGAGAGGAAGAGAGCTCAAGAAATCGATAACCAACAACAAGTTGATTACAATCTCAACTCCTGAACCGACAAATTGACCGACTGACCCAAACCGCCTTCCTGATGTTATTGATTTCTTCATTGTCAAGGGTCTATCGAGACTTTCCCATCAAATAGAAACCTGCTTAGATTCCAACACCAACCACGTTCCGGTAATCTTGAATATTGGCATTACAGTTATGAACATGGAATACAATACGAAACTCTAGAACAAGCGTACAGGACTGGATTTTTTTTCGAGAACTGGTTCACGAGAGACTAAATATAAAAATAGCTCTAAAAACCTTGTCGGATATCGATCAAGATGTATACAAATTAACGTCAATCATTTAAGAGAGTCGTTGGATGTCTACCCCGGAAGACAACGTTCAACAAAACATATTCAGACAACATACGTCAAAATATACTCGAAAAAAGGCGGCTACGTCAAGTATGGCACACCAGCAGGCATCCAAATGATTAACAAAAAATTGAACAACGGCCATCCAAGAGCTGAAAGCCCTTATTAAGGGACGCTAACAGCGCTGCCCTGGATACCTACCTAGAAAGTTTAACAGCTACAAAAATAACCATTTACTCATTACGGAAAGCTTGTAAAAATCTTAACAGACCGTCACATCAGAAACCACCCCTACGGACACATGACGGCAAGTGGATCAAAACAGCTCGTGACAAAGCGTAAAACCTTCGCAAAACATCTCAGTCAAGTTTTTACCCCAAATGAGTCACCACTGAATGCAAATGAAATGTACATTGTATACTTGACCCTAAACCAAGACCTTCAACTTGACACACCCCTAAAATTGGTGACACCAAGAGAAGTAATCAATAGCCTCAAGTCCCTCAAAAAGCAATAAAGCACCAGGGTTTGACCTTATTGACAAAAAGGTACTAGAAGAATCGCCTTCTAAAGTAGCCCTTTACTTAACCATGGTATTCAACGCAATAATGAGAATTGGATACTTCCCAGACCTATGGAAAGTTTCAAACGTAAATTAATGATCCACAAATCGGGAAAACCTATTCACGAAATCACATCATATAGGCCAATCAGCCTCCTGCCTATAATGTCAAAGCTATTTGAGAAGTCGCTCTTGCACAAAGTTATGACTTCTATAAATGAAAAACGAATCATCCCAGAGCACCAGTTTGGCTTTAGGAAGGAACATGCGACAGTGGAACAAGTGCATAGAGTGTGTAGAGAACTTAGGAAGGCAATGGAAAAGAAAGAGTACTGCTCCTTAGTCTTTCTCGACATTCAGCAAGTCTTCGAGCGAGTCTGGCACAATGGTCTTCTATATAAAATTAAATCTGTGTTACCACACACTTTCTATAACACCCTTGAAATCTTACTTATCTGACAGAATCTTCCAAGTGAGAGAGAAGGACTGTACCTCCAATTTCTATGAAATATTGGCAGGAGTCCCACAAGGGTCAGTGCTGGGACTAGTTCTGTATACACTGTATACGTATGACTTGCCACAAACCCCAGGAGTAACCGTTGCAACCTTTGCTGATGAGACAGCCCTAATCGCCTCGAATAGATGCCCGATTAAAGCCTCAGAGATTTTACAAAACAGCCTGAATGAAATCGACAAATTGCTAAATAACTGGCGAATTGCGGTCAGCGTGTCGGAATCGATCCATATAAACTTCACTCTCCGAAAAGAAGACTGTTCACCCGTCTACTTAAACGGCTTACAGCTGCCCTACCAACATACAGTAAAATACCTAGGCATACATTTGGACCGTAGACTTACATGGAGAAAACACGTCCAAACGAAACGAGAGGAAATCCATCTCAAATACAAAGGTCTCTATTGGCTGCTAGGACGTAACTCAAAACAATCTATGTATAATAAACTGTTCATATATTAGTCGATCCTTAAACCCATCTGGACATACAGTATTCAGCTGTGGGGCTCTGCCAGCGAATTCAACATAATGATCATACAGAGAGCACAAAACTATATCATTAAACAGATATCGAATGCGCCCTGGTTCGTAAGAATACCAGTGCTTCATGAAGCTTTGGATATACCAACGGTCAGGTAGGAAATAGAAGCCCATAGAGTTAGCTACAAGTGGAGGTTATCAAAGCACCCGAACCAGCTAGCGGGACAGCACACAGTATACCTGAAATCATACGTCGGCTCGGCTCGGCATATTTGACACCTAGAGGGTTTCAAAAAATCCAGGCAAATACAAGGATAGGGCAAGCTCCATTGGAAGCGATGCCCTGAACGCCAACAGTGCCCACACCTCATCTGCTTATAGTCACAATATGACTGATCGTAAGATAATTAATTAAAGAACAAAATTCCTCTGTCCTTGACTTAATGGTTGACCACACTGTCTGTCTTCTGAGATTGTCACTAGTTAAATGTGATGCAAAACATTGTGTTACGTTTATAGCGTTCCTCTTATAAATTATTTTTTACTATATGAAACAAGAACTCGAAGTGTATGAAAGAATAAATAGCATTTTACTCGATTTACAAAACAGACGAAATGAAATTTGTATCCTGTAACAAATCTGAAACTGTATATTTTATTACAGTTCCTTTATTTGATGAAATATCTACCTATTTTATTATATTTTATCATTTTAGATGACCCGAAACCAACTTGTGAGGATAACGAAATCCTAGATGATTGTCCTTCACACTGTGAATCAGAGCATTGTCCCAAGTGTGAAGAAGACAACAAGAGGTGTGAACAACCAAATCCTTGCCCGCCACCCGCCTGTAAATGCAGATTTAACCATAGGCGTGCTGAAAACGGCTCTTGTATACCTACCGTAGATTGCCGTAAGTGATTATTGAAAATAATGCAAGGTTCACCAAATATCTCCGATCACATACTATTATTTTGATTGCAATGTATAACCTTGATAACTACTTTTTCAGCTCCTTTCGACTGCAGTACTAAACCCAATGAACAGTATACTCCTTGTCCACCTATGTGTCCCTCTGACAGCTGTGGCTGGCCAAGAATCACGGGCAAATGTCCATTCAGAATTGGAATCGTACTAAATTGCAATCCGAAGTGTCAATGCAAAGATGGTTTATGGTAGATTAAAGAACGGCACGTGTGTGCCTTTTGATGAATGCCGTAAGTCTTATTCGTTGATTATATATTTGTCCCAATATTTTATATCAAGAGAACAAATGTTTACATTATTTAGGAATAATATATAAACTGTTAGGTATTCATTGTTAATAAACATGTACTGCATTACTACTGAAAATGTATTAAAACACTATAAATTAAATATCATGAACAGTTATCAAATAAAATGTCAGACAAATTCGCCGATTAATTTACGAACTGTACTTACAATTTACTTACCTAATTGTGCTTAAAATTCTTTACGCTTTCTGTTCTGTATTCTCTTTATCTAAACAGGACGAAAATTTGTTTTATTTATTTGTTTAAACTTTATATTATAATAAATATAGCAGATATGATTTTTTTCAAGCCCAATACTTTTGCCTTTGCCTAAAACTTGTCTTATCCAATGACTTTAACTCGGTGGTGCAGTGGTAGCGTATGCGACTGCTGTACTCAGGTCTCGGGTTCGATTCCCGGGTCGGACCAAATGGTTGTATGATCTGCAAATATTTCTTCCAGAGTTTAAGTGTTTTATATGTAGAATTTAACATGTACGTATTTACAAAAAAAGGGTATAGAAGATATAAGGGATATTCTATTAGTCAATCCAGCTTTCATACTACAAGTTCTGCTTAGTTTGAAGCTAGATGGCGTTGTGTGTAAGATGTCCGGAAATATTATTATACGTATTATTGTATAATGTTTGTTGTAATCGACTCGTGAGCTACATGCAATAATTTTCTTTTTGTGCAAGCTTTTGATTTTATATAATAATCTTACAGCTAATATCTGCCCATTAAACGAGGAGTACAACTCCTGCACACAAGCAACATGCCGTCACCAAAACTGCAGCACTAGAAACGATCCACTAAGTTGTCCGAGAATCGATCCTGCTTTCTGCAAAAGAGGCTGCGTCTGTAAAGAAAATTACTACAGAAACAAAAATGGCACATGTGTTCCAGAAGAGCAGTGCAATGGTGAGAGAGCTTTTAAGAATACATTATATTAGCCTCTCTTGAGGCGGTACATTACCTAAGTTTTACAATTATTATTCCAGTTATTTTTCTTTATTTTCTTTATTTTTGTTATTTTATCTTCTGTCCTTGACTCAATGGTTGACCATACTGTCTGTCTTCTGAGACTGTCACTACTTAAATGTGATGCAAAACATTGTATTACGTTCATAGAGTTCCTCTTATAAATTTATTTCTTTACTGTATGAAACAAGAGCTCGAACAGTGTGTAAGAATAAATAGCATTTTACTCGATTTACAAAACAGACGAAATTAAATTTGTATCCTGTAACAAATACAAAACTCTTATTTACTACAGTTCCTTTATTTGATGAAATATCGACCTATTTTTATTATATTTTATCATTTTAGATGACCCAAAACCAACTTGTGAGGATAACGAAATCCTAGATGATTGTCCTTCACACTGTGAATCAGAGCATTGTCCCAAGTGTGAAGAAGACAACAAGAGGTGTGAACAACCAAATCCTTGCCCGCCACCCGCCTGTAAATGCAGATTTAACCATAGGCGTGCTGAAAACGGCTCTTGTATACCTACCGTAGATTGCCGTAAGTGATTATTGAAAATAATGCAAGGTTCACCAAATATCTCCGATCACATACTATTATTTTGATTGCAATGTATAACCTTGATAACTACTTTTTCAGCTCCTTTCGACTGCAGTACTAAACCCAATGAACAGTATACTCCTTGTCCACCCATATGTCCCTCTGACAGCTGTGGCTTGCCAAGACTCAGGGGCAAATGTCCTTTCAGAATTGGGATCGTTCTAGAATGTAAACCGAAGTGTCAATGCAAAGATGGTTATGGAAGATTAGAAAACGGCACATGTGTGCCTTATGATGAATGTCGTAAGTGTCAATCGTTATTTTTATATTAAGAGGAGAGAATATGTTTGTTTTATTCACGATTTTTAAGCAAGAATTAATAGAATTCTGGTGACTACATGAATACTGATTATGGTACAATGTTTCGCTCTCATGCCTTGTCGTATTGGATTTCTATCCAAAATTACATATTTATGTATTAGCAGTAACATACGTATGTGTTGTATGTAACTACAGATACCGTTGCCAGTAAATACTTGTCCAGTCAGTGTAGGTACCTTCATAGTCTGCAGTCTTAATGGCTTGGAAGTTATGTTGCACTTTAGAGCTCTTCCTTATTAATGTCCGAATTTCCCTGAGGGAAAGTGGCACTATGGGTTTCAGGCACATAACGCATATTTCGCTAATTCCTCTGCTGCATCCTAGCTTCTAAAGCTGCCAATCGCATATCTTTTGAGTGTTTTGATTACTGAGTGCGCATACTTCAATTACTTAGATTAAACCGACCTTATGACGTTGTTCTCAGTTGCTTATAGTACTACCATGATGTCTAATAGCATACAGATCAGTAGATCCTTTACCTTTTCAACAGTCATAGCAATTGCGGTCATTGACATCTCTACGGCCGCCATGACATGCGTTCTAAAATCCTGTTTCAAGGAAATAGTCAGCTCCTAAAGTAAATGACTACATCCATATTTCCAATAAGAATAAATCTTATTTACTAATATTTCCAATCTTTATTAACATCCCGGTTTTATTTATTTACAGCTAATCTCTGCCCTACAAATGAAGAATACAACTCGTGCAAGAAAGATTGTGTTTGCAAAGAGAACCATTACAGGAACGACAAAGGAGTATGTGTAGAAGACGAGAAAGGTCCAGGTGCTTTTAAATTATAATTTTTAATTATGATCCTTGTCGTTTTACCATATTTACTTTAATGAAAACGTTAATACTTTTTTCTGACTGTGTGAATGATGTTGTTTGTTCAAGTTTACACATTATTAAATCCTCGCAGAAAACTGAAGAAATATCACTGCCAGCTTTTAAATGAGTGAAAGACAATAAACTTAAATTCTTTCACTCTCTGTTCTATCCAAGCCATCCTTAACAGCTGCTTTTAAATATCCTGGGAACCTAAGCTAGTAGTTAATTTGCTTTGGTTTCAAATCCGTACTTAAAAGTATTTAGTTAAGATCACTTTTTTTAGTTGAAGTAATCCCCTCGGGCTGTCACTCCACCGGGGATCGCAGCGAGGCAAAGTGTCGTAATTGAACACATGAGCTGACACTCAGCTCCTGAAATAGGAGGGATCCGAGAACAACTGTTATTGAGACATTTGGACCAATCCTAACGCCTGCCCGCAATAGCGCGGGCACCACCTGCGAATAAATTCTCTATTAAGTTGACGTACGGCTGGACTATATCGGAAAGAGGGGAAAACCCGTCCACCCAAGGCCATACTCAGGGCAACATAAGGCGCTGGTAGGCGAATTAGGTCTGAGTTGAGGTTGTCCTCCCGCGTCCTCTCCTCAAAGATCCTCTCCGATTTTTGCAATGAGATGCGCTGCGATGCCCAAGCCCGGCAAATTTCCGGCCCAATTAAGCTAAGACCATTTTTTTTCTTTTTTTTTTTACGTGTGGAAATCCCCTCGGACCGTCACCCCGCCGGGGCTCTCGTTCGGCGGGGCGGTGTGTCGGACTCGAACCGACTAAAACCTACACGGTGTGCCCTCTTTGCGCTTCCAGTTAATTAAGCTAAGATCAAACCCAACCCTTATTATTTTTGGTAGTAAGAAGCTAAACCGACTAAAGTAACTTTTTTTATTTACTTTTTACTGTCTTAATCTCAATTCGCTCTAAATGTCTAAACACGCATAATGGCAGCAGCTGTGAATAACCGTCAACGAATTGCAGAGGCATAGATATCTAAACCAACAAATAATTGCAAGGCACATACTGGTGTGGTACCTACTTATCACTAATAATTAAGCCAAACAAACAAACAATTCCTATCACAGGATTTGATGGAATATAGCTGATAGAGTATTCCTCTTTGATTAAAATTAAAATCTTTTTACAGTTCCTCTCTGCCCTAATCCAAATGAAGAATACAAAAAATCTTTCATTTCAAATTGTCCACTTCTTGGTACTTGTACTTCAATCGTAGCAAAATTCAAATGTGATAAACCTGAGGTGGCTTCGTGTATCTGCAAGAGTGGGTACCTGAGATTGAACGAAACATCACTCTGTATACCAACATGCGAGTGTCCGCAAATGAAGAATGCACCTGAATGTCACACAGTGTCCTTAATTCACAAATAAATGTGTTATAACATGTTATCTTTTATTACCTGTCTTCATCACGTATTTTAATTTTTTATTAGCTTCACGTGTAACAACATGAAATATCTTAAAACTCATTTTTAAAGTTAGTTTAATGGGGCAGATTAACAATAATACTAGTTATTTCTGACTCGCTTTACTTGTCTCTTTCTAAATATGACAATAGTAAAGTATTTTTTATCAGTTACTTCTTTTTATCTAGGTAAGATACACGGTCATACGATATGCCGTCAAGAGAAAAGCGTCGCTTCAGCATACAAACATTTAGTAGAATGCACTACGAAAGTTTCGTTACGAAACTTTACTTTCTGATCTCATATACTCGATTCTCCATCACACTTAGTACTTACTTACTCATATAAAAAGTTTTTATACACATAATTACTACTTTTTATGAGTCAGAACATTTAACTGCATATTAACAAACAAAGCTTTAAACTCGTGTTTATTTACACCATGTAGTTTAAATAAACACGAGTTTAAAGCTTTATAACTAACAAACTTTTTTTTTTCTTTTTGTGGTCAAAATTACGTAATACATGATCGTAAACAAATCACTAATAGTAAAACTAATAGTAACGTGATTACAAATTGATATAACTTTTAATGAAGTTTTTAGAATAATTTTTAATTAAAAAGATATTAGGTGTTTATTAGTCATTTATTTTGAAGCTCGGAAGCACAGATAACAATTGCCCCCATTACAGTTGATAAGTTAAATGACTCAATTTAGTTAAAACAACATATAAATTGAATAGCGAATAGTAACAATCACGACGGCAAGATGGGTGGTTCTCTAGCTATACTTTTCTGTCTTTTAGTTTCAAACCTCATAATCAGTGACGTAAAAGGTAAGTTTAATCATATTTTTATTTTTATCTTAAGACTTAAGTATCTTGTCTATTTTAATATTCCTCGTGACCATCAAATACTTTTATTAAAAATAATATTCTCTATGTTATTTTACATGAACAAAACAATTGGACTGCACATAGGTTCCCATCACTATTGAATTGTTATATTATTAGATACTATTTCTGAGCGAATAAATCGTTTTGAAAAAAAGTTGAAACGACTTCAAACAATACTAACAACAACCAACTAAACGCACTGCTCCAATGAGACAGCAAGGTTTCAACAACAAAAATATCATTGATGTATACAATTTTTAGATTTTTGTTGATTTTTTTAAAAGGGCTTGACTGATTTCAATAAAATTTAAATGGGACTGGGAAAAATAATTTCAAAAAATCAAATTCGGTGTAATTAATTCAATTCGGAGTAATCGGTGAACATACATAAAAAAAGATTCCGACGAATTGAGAACCTCCTTTTTGGAAGTCGATTAAAAAGAATCTTTACAAAGACAGTTCAGAGTTACAAAGCCAGGTACCATAGTCAATTGTGTCGTTCAATTATAACTAATAATTATAACAAATATTTTCTTTTTAAGCCATAACATGTCCACTAAACGAAGTAGTGAACGACTGCGCAAACGCATTATGCAAGATTGAAAAGTGTAGTGAAAGAGGACAACCGCCATTGTGTGCTTTGGTAAAGCATTGTAAACCCGGATGCAACTGTAAAGATGGATACTTAAGAATCGAAAGTGGACTCTGTATACCAGAATACCAATGTCCACGTAAGTGATTTTATTTACCTAATTATAATAAAGTGAAAAATAATCGTCTTTTAAAATATAGAGTCTCAAATCCAATTTGCGATAAAAAAGGTTTATAGAAAAGTAAGTGACATAAACCGGGCATAGATTAATAAAGCTTTACGGATTTCAAAAACCCGTTCGCCATCGCATCACATCGCATTTGTTCCACATGACCCTTTGCTTATTAAAGACCGATAGACAGAAATACGGTGACCCTGAACATAAGAGCAACGATCGCCTGAGTAAAACTGCAGCAATAACACAATAAATTTTCTAAAAAACGACGATATTCTAAAAAAAAAGAGTGTGCTGTAGACCACACGACTGAAGTAAAACTTCTTGGCTATGAGAGAAAGAGAGAAAGAAAATATGTGCTGCGCACCTCTCTCTCCTGTCCCTACAATAATATACGAAACGTAACTATCTTTCTTTAACGCTTAGAGATAAAAGTTAGTACATAATACTAATAACGCTATGCGTGCGTACAGAAGTTTTACTTAAAAAAAACTTTTTTTTAACCCAAAGCAACTTATCTTTAAGACACAGTTTTGATTAGAAAAACACTGTAAGTAGAGTAATACTCTAAAGAACACGGCTATTTAGATTTACCCATGAGGCTTTTCTTTAGTTTTGTAGTAAAAATAAAGTAAATAAAATTCCACTTCATTTAGAATACAATCAGAAACTTCATAAAATCATAGGTAACGTAGAAGTTAAATTTTCAGCTGTCCATCCAACAAAAAAGGTGCTCTCATTATTAAAATCGAAGTGATCTAAAATCTGTATGCTATTAAACTAATATCTTAAATTTTCACAGCCATACGAGACCCTCAACCGGCGTAAACCCGACTGAAGTACCAGACCATGATTGAAATTAAGGAAAGGGAGTTTCTGGATATTGACTTCGTCCAAACGGATACCCAAACATTAATTTTTAAAAGTATATATTCAGAATCTAGTATCTTTGATGAAATTTAAACAAAATTAAATGTTTTAACAACTATCCACGTGCAATTATTTACATCCCGAAAAAAAAAGTGTCTGTAGAACCTGGAGGTCCAAGATAACATTTGAAATACAAATAAAATGCATAAATAGTTTAACCGTTAAATATTACATTGGATTGAATATTATATTATTGGCTATATTATGCATACTTAATATTAATAATTTACATATACTGGGTCTACCAATAGGGATGACCTGGTTTTGACAGCTCATAGCGGCCATGTTTGATGATGGATCTTTGACGTCTCTTGACATTTGTGTTCAGTAAGGTTTGCCATTTTATCATGTCATGTTTCACTTTAAACCAATGCTTGGAAATTGTCCAAAATTACCTACACCTATACAAAATTGTTTTGGCACAAGAATTGAAGCCATCCGACCATTGTATCCGTCGTGAATTTGCCGATTATGCACTGGAAATGATGGAAGCCGATGACGATTTTCATCGTAAAATCATCTTTTCAGATGAGGCCCATTTCTGGCTCAATGGTTTTGTTAATAAATACAATTGTCGCTATTGGAGTGAGTCAAATCCACGTGTGGTTCATGAATCACCATTGCATCCGCAAAAAATAACAGTTTGGTGCGGCTTATGGTACGGTGGAATCATTGGTCCGTACTTCTTTGAAAGTGACGAAGGAAACACTGTTACTGTGAATGGCGAGCGCTATAACTCGATGTTAACCGAATATTTCTTACCGGAATTTGATGATATTGATGCAGACGACCTTTATTTTCAACAAGACGGTGCACCACCTCACAGTACTCGAGTGAACATGGAATTATTGCGTGGAAAGTTTGGTGAGTCGTTAATTTCGAGAAATAGACCGATCAGTTGGCCACCAAGATCGTCTGATTTAATACCTTTAGACTATTTTCTTTGGGGTTACGTTAAATCTAAAGTGTTCAGCAATAATCCAGCTACAATTCGTGACCTAAAAACCAACAGTCGACGAGCCATAGCCGACATACCGGCCGAAATGGTGCACCGCGTCATCGAAAATTGGCATGAGCGGGTGACCGTCTGCAAAAAGAGCCGCGGCGGTCATTTGGCCGATATGTTATTTAAAACATAAATTGCATAAAATTATCTATCAAATAAATCAATCGGATGCATTTTTATAAAAAATTGTGTGTTTTATTCAATTTTTAAACCAGGACGTTCTTATTGGTAGACCCCATATATATAAGTATACTATTATTATTTTTTGAATCGGTAACCATAACCTTTTTATTATGGAAGAGGGCGCAAACCTGTACTTACATATTTTAAAATTGCTTGTTTTTCCAAAAAATGTTTTTGTTAGATGTTGTGATAAAAAAATATTCATAGATTTTACGCTCGCAAAAGCAAATGTGAAATTAAAGTCGTGGAGTAATTATTACGAGTATGTGAGATAGGTAGCCTAATTATCCTTGAACTTTGAAAGCTTGTGAGTAAGCAGTAATCTTTACTAGTTTGAACCACTCGTATGTTTAATGCTATGCGAAAACACATGAAACCGTGAGAACAGGAAGAGGATTTTCTTCGAAATAGGCCCTATGTTTGTAAGATTATCAGACACATGGCATGATCCCTATATAATCCACTAGGCCCAGTGCGAGTGTCACGGTGGCTCACACATGATAATAAAGCTTTGGGCGATTAATGCTCTATGTCCCATTTGCACTAACCACCTCCTTTTTTTTGTGGACGGGGTGGAAAATCCCTTCGGATCTCCGGCTCCTTGGGGATGTAGGTGCCAGCAGTCAGCAGTATGTGGTGTTTCCAATAAAAACCACCCCGACGGCTAGACTCAGGCGCCCTACTCCGAGGAGGACCCGGACCATGTTATTTCAGGTCCCCCCCCAGATCGACGCCGCGCCCAGTAAAGCCCTATCCCGAGGAAGCTGCGCGCTTCCCCCGCCTATCGGCCTTATAAAATGTTGCGGCCCGATCGCATTTGGACGACCAGGCCGCCATCCTATCGCCTACCGCAGCAGTTAAAGTGCCACCAGAGGCCCCCTACCTCTGGCCGCCTGCGGCCCCGTCAACCGCGGTATCACCGCCGACGTCCTCTACGCTCGGGATCGGCCCTCTCCCGATCCCGTTCAGCGGTCTATTTCTGAAGCATTACAGCTTCGAAATGGGGTTTACATGTGTCTGTTTCTTCTATATTCACTAAAATTCTCATAAGCTTGTTTTGTTGAAGAAATACAGTATGTGCATCTGTGATATTAAAATCTATATTTATTGATGTCTTTTAATGAGGGTGGAAGGGCATAATTATTGTTTTTGTATAATTCATTTCTAAATTATGTTTAGCCATCCAGAATGCTGTTTTCTCCAAAATTGACTTTAGTTTCTCATTTAAATTTAAACCACTTTCACGTGACAAGGAAAGATATATCATCGGTAAACAATACACAGGGTCCACCTATGGCTCTGGGCAGATTATTGATGTAGATGAGAAATAGTAGGTATATAGCACCCTATCACGGTACCCTGGCATTGAGGCTTTTACATCTAGTTTATTAGAGCGGATTTTTTTCTATTATCTCTACTATTTGTTTTCCGTCCGTTAGGTATGATGAGAGCCACCTGTGAGCTTGTCCCCCGTCTGCCTATACCATATACTTTGTGTAATAAGATGTCAAAGTGCCCTTTGTTCTAGACCTTGGTCATATCGAGCAATAAACCTATTGCATATTTTTTATTATTTACAATATTTAGAGCTTTTTGTATGTACTTATATACGGCTAAGACTGTTGATCTAATATGACGGAAGCCATTTTGGCATTCGTCGATAATCTGGCATTTTTCGCAAAAGGAGTATATTTTATTGCAGATCGCCTTTTTGAAGATCTTTGAGGCAGTGAGCAACAAAGCAATAGGGCGGTAATAGCTTGGTTCTGTTTTTAAGTTTTTTTGTGGATTGGTTTTATTGCTGCGTGTTTCAATTGGTCGGGAACGACGCCCTCTTCAAATGACTGGTTTAGTAACATGTAAAATGGTCAGGTTAGTTCTTTTCTGAACAGAACAGAAAATCTGGACAGTTTGGGTGAAAACTCATCGATCCCATGGCTCTTTTTGTTATTTAAGTTTCTTAAGATCCTGTTAATTTCGTAAGGCTCTACAGGACCAAGGAACATAGTATTTTCTGGATCGGATGGATTACAGATATACAATTTGGTTTCCCGTATAATGTAAGAGCGGTTGTATCTCCAATGGATGCAAAGAAATTAGTAAAATAGTTAGCAATCTTTCTGGTCTCGCATATTACATTAATTTTTAGTTTTTCCATTTCCATTATCTTTTTTTTTTATTGGTCCTTTCATTTATAATACTCCACATAGCTTTTGGTTTATTATTAGATTTTATTATTTTATTTATGTAGTGTATTTTTTTGGAGTTGCTACAACATTTTTAATGTTTTTTCGTAGTTTTTGTAATATGTTTATAATATTGGATTGTTCGTTCTCTCTCAGTGCAAGCAATTTAAGAAGTCTTTTATTTCTGCAAGAAAGTTTAATACCTACTGTCAACCAATATTTTTGAACCGGTTTTTTATTTTTAGTTTTCGTACTGGCATACATGTATTTAATATACCTGTTAGTGTATCTTTAAAAGCGTTATAGCTATCATTAGTATTTTTATTTTTCGATAAAGTATTGTGCCACTTTTGCTCATTTAGTTTAGTTTTGAAGTGTTGCATATTTATTTTAATAAATATTCTTATTTTTGTGTGCCATGTAATCTGTTTTATTTGGTAAATCAAGGTGAATGGCTGTCCCGTTGTGGTCAGAGATTGCCTTCGAGGTTGGCTCCCCCCCCGGCCGGGCGTTATTTGTTACGCCGATTACAGCCCAGGGGCAAACTTTCAAAGAGGCCGCGCGCCTGATCACCAGATGAGTCTCTCTAGTGGTCGGGCGCATTGAGGCGCTGGGCTTACGGGTGGCCCTGCATAAGACGGAGGCCCTTTGTCCCATTTGAAGTATCTGGGCCTCATTCTTGACGGGAGGTAGCTCTTCGGCGAGCACTTCCGACAGCTTGCTCCAAAGCTGGTCGGCGCTGCTTCTCCCCTAGGGTGACTTTTGCCCAATTTGGGTGGAGCGGGTGTACCGGTAGGGGCGGCGGCTTTGATCGCCCAGAGTAGGACACGCCTCTGCTGCCCTCAGAGAATATTGGCGGTTAAAGCCATACGCGGTTACCGCAGCGTGTCGACGCTTGAAGAAGTATATAGGCGGACGGCTGAGGGACGCCCATAGAGATACGGGAGTGGCGTGAGGCCGCTTGCCGAGCGACGATGGCTCGTTGGTCGTCCCGGCTAGAGAAGAGCTGAATTTGCCGCCGTGGAGGCGCTCCAGCCGGTCATCGTTGAGTGGGCAGGGCGGCAGCACGGGACCCTTTCCTTCCGGCTGACACAAGTCCTTTCCGGGCACGGCTGCTTCGAAAAAAATCTGCACTAGGTCGCTAGGAGCTAGAGATAGTGACAGATGTTTCACCGCAGTCGCTCCGCCGCCTCCTTCTGCGAGATAACGTCTTCATGAGGCACGCTTACCACCGCCTCATGCCGCCCTGAGTGTGGCCGCGGGTGGACGGGACCCACTATAACCACCAGCCGCGAGGAGGCGACGTCCGGCACCCGCGGAAATAGAAAATGAACCGGAAAGTGGTGCTCGCGCCATTGCGGGCAGGAGGGGTCCGGATTGTTACTTCTGTTTAACAAATGTCACGGATTTTTTGAGAAAGAACAAAGGCAGTATTGTTTACCCCGATATTTCTTCAGCTACAAGACCTCTTCCAAACGGCGAAGGGCTACCCATACCAGTTCCTGCAGTATAAATGGATGTAG